GTTTCCGTACGTCAAAACTTAGGGCCCTGTTTTAACATCTATAACATTTGAAAAAGTAATGAAGCTCTGTTTTCCTGTTATTTTCTTATGTCTTCTTCCCTAGAATGCATTGGACATAGACATCCCTTCTCCTCATGTCAGGAGTATAGTGACTGCAGTGCCAGACAACAGTAGAGCCATTCTCCTGTGGCCACATTGGGCTATTTTAAGTAATCTCCATTTTAAGTAATGATTACATTTAGAGTTGAGTTTAACTTTGGCTGTCCTGGCCACATTCCAGCTAAGACAATTATATTCTGCTTGCCAAAATTCCCCATGCAGTTTCAGTACAAAACAAGCTATCCCTCATACATGTCCTTATACACTTGTGCCCTTTGTTTTTAAATACCTGTGACGTTTTACCCTGAAGGTGGCTGAACTCTAACACTGTGAAAACAATCCCTACATTTACAGTTCATAAAGTGCTTCAGGATCCCTTGGGATTAAGGACATTAAATGAATGCAAGCTGTAGTATTAAAAATATATGCAACTTTACAGTAACAGTTGCCATTGTTGTTAGCACTGTGTAGCACCAGGGGACCCATTGTAATGGGAACCATAACTGTGGAATAGAGATGGTTCTCCAAATTGCATCCAGCTGGAAGAAGTGGTCACATATCCAGCTGCTGCTTCCTGTAGTGCAACAAGAGCACAACTTGGTGGGCTGCTAAAGGAAGGGCTACAACTGTCTCAGCCCTGTGAATAGATCTAGTCCAGTTCTGTCAGAAGAGCGTTCATAATCTAAAGGAAAAGAATCAGCAGGTAGGCAACAGCAGGCAGGTGAAAGAAAGCTATCACAAACAATTTTTCCTGAAGTTTGTGAGTCACTGGCTGACACAGGAAAGCAGATTGAATTTACAGCATGTTCCACGTATCACATCTTGTAATGCAGATAAGATCTCCTTCTCCTCAGTTTGTAGAGGAGAGGGCCCAGGGTGTGTGTAGGAGATACAGTCAGGGTTTACAAAGTCATGGAAGTGATAGATAAGCTGAAAGTGGAACTGTTGATCACCAGATCTCACAGTATTAGAATGAGAGAACGCTGACTGAAAGTAGTAGTGGATCAGCTTAAAACAGATAAGAGTAACTACTTGTCTACACAGCGGGTAGTGAACTTTTGAAACTTGTTGCTACTGTGAAGGCAGACAGCCTTAGTGGGTTCAGGTAAATCTGTGGAAGACAGGTCCATAAATGGCCACGAAAGACAAAAAACAGAGTGTGCCTTCTACCATCTCTAATCCAATTAGCATGAATTTAGGAGCAGTTAAAAGGGACTGGAAAGTAAGACATGGCCAGGCTTGCACACTTGCCCTCTCACTGTCAGGATCTGAACACTGGGCAAGCTGGACCACAGGTGTGATAAAACAGTGCGTTTCTTATATACTTATGATGAGCATTTGACCGACACTGAAGGGTTCAAGTCATGCCCAAGGACAGGGCAGAGCCTCAAATACTCCAGTAAGGTACAATCTATAGCACTGATACGCTTAGACTGTTTTTCAAGGAAATTTGGAGTGACTAACATATCCTCCGCCAGCATAAAGTCCATTCTTGTTCAAGTCATGCAAAAGGGAAGAAATGACTCTTGCCTGATATATTTCTGATATATTTCTTTGTCACTAGAGTTTTGTGTTCAGCATTTGAAGGATGTAGTTTAGGCTGCAGAATGGGAGCTATCATCCATGTATTTCTATTGCAAGACACTGTAAAGTGTATAAGAATCATTAGAGAAATAAAACAGACCAATCATTTTCACTCTTTGGTCTGCATATATTTGATTTGATTATCTGCCACCAAAGAGAAATTTAAAAATAAGATATTATCCATCAGTTCTTTTAGCTATTATGCAAAACCAGATCCGCTTAGCTTCGGCATTCTGTGCTTTATTTACATCTATGTAAACCCAGACGCTCTCCATTAATGTCCAGAGTGAGCTTGCATTGCAATTAAGATAAGAACTGGGATCAACAAGTCCTCTGCACTCTCTCCTGTCACTCAGTGTGGGGTTTTCTCCCCCCTGAAAAGCCTGACCTTTGCCCTGGCTTTAACCCACCAAGCCCAGTCCAACCCCTACATCCATATAGCCGTGTGTAGGTACTCACGCCAGCCTAGCACCGCAGTTTTCGCCTTCAATATCTGCTCCAGGGACGTTGTCTGTGTTCACGGACTCGGTCTCACTGGTGGGCATGCTCACTGTAAGAGTTAAAGGGAAGAAAAAGAGAAGGTTGGCCATTAGAACGTGGCATATCTATTGATGAATGACATGAGTGGCTACCACGTGAGTGGTATTAATGAATTGCATGAGAGGAACTGGTTTAATGAAAAGACCCTCAGCTGCAGCTACAGAGGATTCAACAATTTGCTGAGCAATTCTAGTGCCTCCCTGCACAGGCCACGTTGGGCAGGTAGACTTCAGGAACATATACTTAAAGGCTACAGAAAAGGGAAGAAGCAGGTGTTCTCTTTCAGAATCTACTCCTGGAAATTTTTAGGAATGAAAACAGCTGAAAATTAAAGAACTTGTCAAAGCCAACAAGAAGCTTTTGTTTGATTCAAAGGAACACTTTAAAACCTCACCCCTTTACTTGCGCCAGCCCAACGACCTCTTTGCTTTCCCCAGTCTTTTTTGTGAAGCTCAGAATACAAATAAAAAGTATCAGATTGACATGTGTTCCAACAAATGGCTGCTTAGCCTGATAGCAAGTACCACATAAATAATACTGATGGCTCAATTTATCATATACTAACCATTAATGTGTTTCAATCCTACACTTACAAACTGGACTTAAAGAGATAAGAGAGCAGATCAGACTCTCTGATCCATTCAGATATTACCAACAAAAGAGCTAAAGAATGTTGTGGAGATTTTATGTTGACACCCACCAACTAAGAACTGAACAGAATCTTCCAGGCTTTTGCAGAAGTATCGTGGAACAAACATCAAATGAAAAGAACCTTAGATGTGAACCTATCTCATTTGCATTCAAAGACCTGTTGCATTTCGTATTAGTTATTAAACATCAATGTTTTCTTTGCCTCTACAGATCATAAAAAAACCCCAAAAAAACCAAAAAAATCCAACAAAACACAACAACAAAAAAACGCAACCCCAAACCCAACCAATTTTCATTCCAGCAGTTTCTCCCAGCTACTATATGAGCTCTTGTAACTGTTTAATATATAAACATTCAACTTAAGTTAGGACAATGGATAGGATCCAGTACATGTCCTCTTCTTTCCTCCCCTCTTTCCAAATACACAAAACAAATGAAAGAAAAAATAATTAAAACTGAATTATGGAGGAGTTATACAGATCTCTCAGACGCCTGGTAGAACTTCAGAACATGACCTGTACTAGTAGTTTGATACATATCTCAGAAGAAACTTGACAGCATGCACTATTAGCAGTTAGAGAGGATTCTAATTGCTTGGAAGAATATGTTATTCAATACTAAGAACGTATCTATTTGTGGGTCCTTGATACAAAAGGAGGCAATGTAGAATAAGTACATTCCACATTTCAATTGGGCAGGTGTTTAATAGGCCATGGGACCAGATCTTCCAGATCTTCTTTCAGAGACCAGAAAGATATCAGAAGGTTCTTCCAAAGAGATCCAGAGTTCCTGCTTTGAATTCATCATGGTAGAAACATCCCTCAAAACGAACTATTTTACTTTCATCCCATCCCAATGATTCACGTGCCTACAACACGTCTTATGAAAACCTAAAGTTCTTGTGCGGTGTTCCTAGGACCACACGAAATAATGGACTTCCGCACTCCTGACGTAACCATGAAATATTGTACATTAATGGTGCCTGTTCCTTCACAAAGACTAGATGCTATAATAATCTTGTCTATTTGGAAAGATAAATTAAGGAATCAACTGAATACATATTTTGATGTACATGAAACAGTCAAGTAAGCTGTAAGAAAGAAACAACATTCATAATTAAAATTTTGGTCCAAAGTCCTTCAAGAAAAAATAAAACATTGATATTTTGCAAGTCATCTTTGAAGATGAGGTAAAGCACTTTAAAGATATGCTTGAGCTTATTTGCAAATGGAAAACAATTTTGAAGACATTAGCAAGAGATTGATTTGCAGAGCAGCTTATTATCTTGAGTGCATGAAGAGGACACTGCACAAGCAATAGAAAAAGCAAGGCACACACATGCAGAAGTGTACAAAGCTGTATTATATGTCAGTCTGTATAGAGATATATATACACACACAGAGGCAGATATATGAAGTGTGGACAGAGAGTGCAGTGCAACATTACCATGGGTTTCTGTGGAGTGACTAAACCAAGCAAACTTTCCTTTCTTCTTATCAGGCAAGCCAGCTGGAGTGCTTCCTTTCACAGACAAGATGGTCAGTGTCAAGTACCAGGAACAAGACATCAATAGAGAACATGCAGCCAGTGACAGGCAAAAGAAAAAAAACAAGGAACTCAGCTTATACATGACATCCATTTCTGTCTGAAAACTTCGTCATGTGAATTAAAAGTATGAAATTAAAACCAAAGGTATACAGAGAGATGAAATATCGTAACAGATCACCAGAGGATAACTCTCCCTTGCTTTCTGCTCTTCTTTATATCTGGCTTCTGAGAACATGAAGTTGCTGGATTTAAGTTTATGGGTCAAATCCTTTTTTCCACTGATGTCAATGGCAAAGCTCTCCTCGATTGACTGTCTGACCTACTGAAATTGATGAGACTAAGGCAATGACAATGTGTTCCCAGGGCTTCCTTAGGGCCAGAATCCAGACTTCCTTTTTTTGAATGAGGTTCTTTGGCTTTCATCCTAAACTGCTCAAATATCTACAAACTTCCAAAACTGGCAGAGCTTCTAAAAGGAAGTTGTTGGGGCAATCACATTTCTCTGTCTTTCCCCATCTCTAGAGATCAACAATCTTCATCAAGCACTCAGACATCCACTGCCTTATCCAAATGACAATACCCCTAGATTACGTTTCATGATTTCTTCTTGAGTTTACTTTTGGCATTGACCCTCTGACATCCTCCTGCTGCATGGCCTGTCATGACATTACTTAATGTTCCTCCTCTGCCCATTATGTATATACATACAGAAGTCCTCAGCTCACACAGATCAGAGGTGTATGCACAGAGATGTCTTCAAGCATACCTCCCACTTCCCTAATTTTACAGCTGCAGAAAGCCAAATTTAGGAAAGCGAGGGATGCAGGTGCAGTAGCACATGGGCTGAAGAGACTTCTATGGTTCAGGCTAGGTTACTGGCATTTGCTTACAGACATTTATTACACTGCACTGATGGAAAATGTTAAGGACAATAAAAAGTATTAAGATAGTATCAAGTATTAGAGGAACGATGGCCTAGAAGTTAAAGGTCAGGACAGACAGGAGATTAGAATTGTATTTCTCAATGTGATATGTTCTCAGCAGGGCAATCACTTACTTTACCTGGCATCTCACATCACCGTCAATATCAAGGGAATAATCAGGTGTGCAGATGCTGTAAGGTTCATTCCGGATAGTTAACAAATCCCAAAAATGGAAGATGCTGCAGAAGAGTTGTGGGTAATCTGGGGCTGAATATGAGAGGAAGTTGACCAAATACTGCCCAGATGTCTTTCTTACCTGACTTAGTTCCCAGACACACAGACCTTGTGCCCACACCCCAGCTCCAGTCTAGAAACAAGGCAGGCATTTTTTGCAGTTTGAGTAATTAATTACTGGAACCATGTACCAAGAATGCTAGTGGTAAATCCACCACAGGAATGTTTTAATCGGGAAGAGATGTCTTTTTCTAAATGGTGGGCTCTAGTCCAGACCAGAGTTATGTTTAGGACCATGATATACAGACTATGCCATCTGAATAGCTACTTCCTCCCTGTAATTTTGGGAGCTGAAACAAAGGCAAGAAAGAAGCAAATACAGACTTCCTCCCACCCAGGCACAAAGCGACTCAGCAATGAAAATCCTGGTGCCTCATGTCCTGTGCCATGTGTGTTCAGTGACTTACACGCTCTTACAGGAGTGGTTCCCTATTAAGTTCAAAAAATCCACCACTTGTAATCAAACCAGAGATCCCCAGAGAGCTCACTTCTGCCAGACACAGAGAGACCCCAACTCCCTGTTTGAAGCCTTCAGGCAGACCTTTAAATCTGCCACCTACTACCAGCTTTGTATTGAATGCACTTCAGTATCTGAACTACAGCATGGGCAAGGCACTGACCAAGCCCTATGCATCCTCTACAACCACCCTTCTAATACCCTAAGGTATTACAGTAAGCAACTAAATACCGATGTTGCATATAGGTTATAGGTGACTTCTTGACAGCAGAGGACAACTCTGTCCTCACACCTATCCATCCCAGGTGACAGCAGGTTGTTAAAAGGGTGAGAAGGCATATCTTTCAGGCAGTTTGCCTTTGCCTGACTACACCAGGAGCAGCAGTCGAGCTATCAGGGCAAAAAATACACAGAGCAGGCAGCTCACTTCAACCAAACTAGTACAGTGAACCACTAAAAACAACACAGGGATAGGTCCCATAGAAGAGACTATATATTTCACAGAATCATAGAATGGTTTGGGTTGGAAGGGACTTTTAAAGATCATCAAGTCCACACCCATTTGCCATGGGCAAGGACATCTGTCAGTGGATCAGGTTGTTCAAAGCCCCATCCAACCTGACCTTGAACACTTCCAATGATGGTGCATCCACAACTTCTCTGGGTAACTTGTTCCAGTGTACCTGTTCCTGGTGCAAGTCATGGTGGCTTTACTTACATGGGAATATCTTTTTTTTCCAATTTATCATCACATCCATAATTCACTCTGGTTGCTAAAAGCATCCATTAGTTGCATATTCTCTAGGTAGTCGAGCAATTTTTTTAAAGGGAACTGAAACAATCTTTTAGAGGCATGCAAGTGTCTCATGGTTTCAACAGAGTACAAACCATAAGGACCAGTAGGTTTTAAACTCTATAGTTGCTTCCGAAGCTTTTGCTCTTCTTACATCTTGCCAACAATGTGGCACATCTCTGAATGCAGACTTTTTCTCCCAGACTACCTAAACTCCAATTTCACACTACTTTTCTGGCATTCC